TACAACAAACGCTAACAAAACCACTATCATCGTAACTACAACTACTGCTACCACAACAACAACAACAACAACAACAACAACAACAACAAAATAATCAAAAATTAAAAAAAATCAATGGAAGAAAATAACACACACATACACACACACACACACACACACACACACACACACACACACACACACACACACACACACACACACACACACACACGGATGAAAAAAAAAAGAATAAGCAAGCAGAAATAAGAGACAGTACAGCAGACAAGAAGAATAGTTGAGAGAGACTAACGCTGATTAATGATGCAGATCTGGATTACCTGCGTCCATTAATTGTGTGTTTAATTACCTGTCCCTCCTTCCTCCCCTTCCCTAACTCCCTCACCCCTCCCCACCTCCCCTACCTCCGCATCAGCCGTCCTTCCTCACTCTTCCACACCCTCCTCCCTCCTTCCTCCCTTACCCTTTCTTTCCCCTACTCCCTCATCAACCCTCCTTTCTCCCTCTTCCACACCCCCCCTCCCTTATCTCCTATATCCCCCCCTACCTTTCCTTATCCCTTCCTCACACCCTCCTTACCTCCACCCCTCCACACCACATCTTCCCTTCCTCCACATCAACCCTTCCTCACCCCCCCTCCCTTCCCTGGAAAAAAAATACACACGATAAAATAATAAATTTAGGTTTTAAGAATATTGTGAGACTAATTGTATTATTTCTGTATGTTTATTCTGCTTGAGTATATTAGAACACAAGAGAGACCAAGTTGTGTTACGTTGTAGTTAGGGAAAAATAAGACATTCCTCACATTTCCCTTCAAAACATAAATCGATAGGGTCAGAAAATGCGTATATAGGGCTAGCTGACGCATTCCCTCTCAAAAGGAAGGTCAGGTAGCTACGGTGTATGTGTTACAGTGTTCCTTAATATATGATGATATATGAAAGTATCCTGACATTTACCACAAAATGTTATGTAAAAATGTTATGTAAAAATTAATTAATAATAAACAAAGCCATACAAGGAAGCACTGTACTCAACCGCTTTCATTTCTACAACAGTAAAGTTAGGTACCTATTTACACTTAGGAGAAAAACTGCCCAGGGATCGATCCAGCGACCCTTTAGAACTGAAGATGAGTGCTCTATCTATTCGGCCACCGCTCCCTTATTTATGGTTAGGTTAGGTTATGACAATGTTGCCAGTGTAGGTGTTGCTTATGCCTGCCACTGTTGCCATATCAGCACCTGGTTCTTAAATATCTTCCGTCCCCTTTCCCTCTTCCATATATCTCGTCTCCCCTCTCCTCTTCCATCTACCTGTCCTCTCTCTCTCTCTCTCTCTCTCTCTCTCTCTCTCTCTCTCTCTCTCTCTCTCTCTCTCTCTCTCTCTCTCTCTCTTTGGTGCTTCATTCTCTTTACTCAATCATCGTCCTCTACAGTACTTCCTCACACACACACACACACACACACACACACACACACACACACACACACACACACACACACACACACACACACACACCCCATTACCAATCCCCCCCTCACTATCACCTCATCACCACTCATCACCACCCCCACCACTCCATCACCAGCCCCTCTCACAACCCCCCACCACCACTACCACTCATCACCACCATTTCCCCATCACCGCTACCCATCACCACCACAAACTCAGACGGGTAATTTCAAAACCAGTCAGAATATGTTTCCTGGCAGAGCGACTGATTGACTGACAAGCAACCCTCACCCTGACGACTGAGTGCACGAAGGGTGGGGGTAAGGGTGAGGGTGAGGGTGAGTGTGAGGGTGAGTGAGAGTGTGAGCATGAGGGTAAGGGTGAGTGTGTGAGGGTAAGGGTGAGTGTGTGAGGGTAAGGGTGAGTGAGAGAGTGATAAATATACATTGTGATTATTCAGTCCTTCTACTCAAACAGTTTTTAATAACAAAGTTTAGGACACAATAATGTTAGATGAACAAGGTAGAACACCTACCATGTTAAATATTAACTCACCTGAGTCATAGATCCACCAGGTTAAATTATCTCACCTGGATAGAAGACCCACCAGGTAAAGATTAGTGGCAGGTAAGCGTAATTAGAGCGATGCGTGCGACAGTATTTTCCTGGGTCTGTCTGCCACCCTCGACTCCTGCCTTCAAGATGGAGGTGTGATAGCGGTCGACCCTCGTATTTCTGGAGTAAAAATGGGAGAGGCATGTGTGGAGATGTGTGAGGGGAGGAAGGGGAACACACACACACACACACTCTCTCTCTCTCTCTCTCTCTCTCTCTCTCTCTCTCTCTCTCTCTCTCTCTCTCTCTCTCTCTCTCTCTCTCTCTCTCTCTCGTGTTAGTTTCGCTTTGCCGGACACTTTTGCAGGTGATGTGACTTAGCTTCAGGGTTGAGGTGTCTTTGATGTGTGTGTGTGTGTGTGTGTGTGTCTTTACCACACACACACACACACTTTTATACATATTTATGCAGACGAGTGGATACAGCACTGGTTCATCCCCGGGGCTCTCCTAGTCGACCCACCTGTGAATTGGTATCTAACTTTTTTTTTTTAGGGAGAAAGTGGTGGCAGAATTTATTTCTTATGTATTGAGGTTTAGTATGCAGTATCCTATATCCACCTTGTCGTTAATAGGCCATCATCAGGTGCGCGAGTTCCACTTTCCATTTTGTACAAGTTAACGCTAATTTCAAGTGTCTTTTCCCTAACATAACATTGAAGAAAAGTGTGAGAAAGAATGAATTACTTTAACACCTGTATTTTCCCTTCACACATGAGGCAAAATCTGTTTGTTTACGGTGTTACATAAACTAACATTCACACGTCTTTAGTAAATATTTTGATTGTGGCTGTTGGACTTGGTTGGGTGTCACAAGATGATGACATAAAGGTTAATTAACAGGAATGATGTAGTTATTGTATTTTCTACTTGTAAATTGGTGGTATTTCATTTCTGCAGTAATTGGCAAGACCTTGTTTTTGATTACCTAATAAAATATAATTCGGTTGGTGTTTTAATAAAGCTTAAGGCTAGACTTTTGGTCTTATTGAATGGGGAAAAATATCACCTATTTAGCAATCTTAATTACCTCCATTCTATAATATATTCATTGTAAATTTTTCTCTGATCATTGTCGATAAAATAAATTACTTAAACACTCAGTGACACACTAATTAAGGATGCGGGTAATTACTTGGTCTTAATGAGTATGGGAAATTTTTAGTGAAATCTTCAACCTTAGTTTCTCACCTCCTGTAATAGATAGAAAGACAGACGACAGACAGACAGACAGACGACAGACAGACAGACAGACAGACAGACAGACAGACAGACAGACAGACAGACAGACAGACAGACGTCGTAGGTTGCGAAAACAGAAATGCGTGAGAGTTTGTGATCTCTTCCCTCGCTGCCAGAAGAAGATGGCGTGACCATCCTGCTTGTCACCTGAGACCCGCCCCATCTTACCTCACCTTACCTACCTGGTTTATTTAGCCTCTGTTACCTGGTGAATGTTTAGTGTGTGTGTATGTGTGTTTACCTGGTGAATGTTTAGTATGTGTGTGTGTTTACCTGGTGAATGTTTAGTGTGTGTGTGTGTATGTGTGTTTACCTGCTGAATGTTTAGTGTGTGTTGTGTAATGTTTGTGTGTGTGTGTGTGTGTGTGTGTGTGTGTTTACCTGGTGAATGTTTGGTGTGTGTGAGTGTGTGTGTGTGTGTGTGTGAAGTGTGTGTGTGTGTTTACCTGGTAATGTTTAGTGTGTGTGTGTGTGTTTACCTGGTGAATGTTTTGTGTGTGTGTGTGAGTGTGTGTGTGTGTTTACCTGGTGAATGTTTAGTGTGTGTGTGTGAGTGTGTGTGTGTTTACCTGGTGAATGTTTAGTGTGTGTGTGTGTGTGTGTGTGTGTGTGTGTGTCTTTTTCTCTATTTATTCTTCTTCAAATCCTTTCTTTTAATTGTTTTGGTAATATTTCTTCCTTCCTTCGCTCGTTCCTTCGTTCGTTCGTTCGTTCCTTCCTTCGTTCCTTCCTTTCTTCATTCCTTCGTTCCTTCATTTCTTCGTTCGGTCGTCCTACCTTCCTACCTTCCTTCCTTCCTTCCTTCCTTCCTTCCTTCCTTCTTTCCTACCTTCCTTCCTTCCTTCCTTCCTTCCTTCCTTCCTTCTTTCCTTCATTTTCTCTTCGTTTTTCTTGCTTTCTTCTTACACAACGAGAGTTTATGAAAGGCTCTGGCAAAGACAAACAAATACGACCTGTATAATATTACTTTGAATATATATTTTTTCCAGGGAGTTTGAGAGAAAATGTTCCCCACGAATTCAGGAAAATGATGAAAATTATCCCTTCATTACGTTGAGAAAATGACGTTAAAGGGAATAATTTTGAGCTTTTAGGAATAAGGAAAAAAGGAGAAAAGAGAGAGAAAGAGATAAAGAGAATTACCATAAATCACGACCCACCTAAATCGTAATCATTTATATACAAAAAAAAAAGGAAAAAAAAGTTATACATATATATATATATATTACCGTAAATATAGTGCCGACCTGTAAATCGTTGTTCTCGGTCCTAATTTTGGGGTTTTGGGTCATCCTTCTTTTCTCTCCTCCTACCCCCCAAACCCACCCACCCCCAAACCACCCCCCGCTAATTATGGTTGCCTGTGTCATTTTATGTAATAATAATAATAATAATAATAATAATGTCAAGAGATTAGACAACACCTAATTTACCTTATATTTTAACATACTTTCTCGCATTATCATATTTATGTGCAGTATGTATGTATGTATGTATGAGCAGCGGGAGTATTTCAGTGTGTATGCTAATGCCTTATATGCTTGCGTAATTGGTTAATGTAGGTTTGATTAAATAAAAGAATGAGTAATTGATTTAGTGGTTGATAAATAAGATAATATGGGATGGGTGGATAGACGAATATGATGGCGAGGAGACGAGTGCATTAACGTTGTGTTTTGTGTTGACAGGACCGCCAGGGGAACGTTCTACACAGCTGGCACATGATGAGTACGGAGGAGGAGACACTGGTGCTCAGGCAGTTCCTCAGGTTCGGGGAGACGAGAGCCATCGCCCAGCAGCTGCTCCACCACGAAGGCAGCTCACCCAGACCAGACCACACCCCGTCTCTCAGGGAGTCTCACCGGGATCTACACAGAGATAGGGACGCTCACAGGGACTCACTGAGGGAGATGCACCGAGATACGCACCGAGACCTTCATAGAGACAGTCTAAGAGATATTCATAGGGAGAGTCATAGGGATCTACGAGACATGAGAGATAGGGATCCTCACAGGGACTTCAGGGATGAACTGAGGCGGGAGGAGAGCCGTCGGGAAGAGAATTCGAGGTCGCAACACCAGCAGCCCCACCATCACCAGCAACCCCATCACCACCACCACCACCACCAGCCGCCGCCGCAGTCAGAGATGTGCAAGAACATGGACTCCGACATGAAGAAATTTCTGGAGCGGACCACCATGTTGTTCAGTCCTTTCATGAGGGGCGATCCAAGCGCCCTGTTGCGACCGCCACCTCCAACATGTCCTCCGGGAATGCCTCCCGCACCTCCACCTCTGTCTGCAGCCTCCCTCGCCTCCAACATCCTGGCAGCAGCCAATCCCTCCCTCGCCACCTCAATACTCGCCAATCCCCAGCTGGCCTCCTCCGCTCTCTCTATGCTCCGTCTCCCCGTCCCGCCCGTCTCTCTCCCTAATATCTCTCCCAACGGTTCTCTTCCCAATAGTTTCGGCTCTCCCACGAGTCCCATGGGCGGCTCACCACTCAACAGACTTCAGAGTATGCAACCCTATGATATCCGGAAGGAGAGACAGAGCCCGAGTCCAGCGTCGAGGGGCGAGCAGTCCCTGGCTCACGGTTGTCGTGGGGGCGGGGTGACCAGCCCGGCCAGTAGTGGTGGCGGTGTCCAGGTCAGCGTCAGTAGCGGCAGTGTCACGCCGCTCGCTGCTACCGCCGCCCAGCCTCCACCACCCACACCTGTCTCCATCAACAGTGATCCACCAACAGACTACACCAGTGACGATGATGACATAGGCTTCTCTGCCTCCACCACTGCCCTCAATCTCTCCACCACATCGACCACTGTGTCTACCAGCGCCACACCCACCACCCTTCATATGCCCCCAAGACCACAGTCACCTGGGGGACCGAACACTCCAGGCAAGAGATCGTGGAACCCGATCAATATGGGCACCTCGCTGATCAACCCAGTGACGGGCAAAAAGCGGGTGCAGTGTAACGTCTGCCTCAAAACTTTCTGCGATAAAGGCGCTCTCAAGATCCACTTCTCAGCCGTGCACTTGCGAGAGATGCACAAGTGCACCGTTGAAGGTTGCAACATGATGTTCAGCTCACGGCGGTCGAGAAATCGTCACTCAGCTAATCCTAATCCTAAGCTTCACACACCGCACGTCCGCCGCAAGATCTCCCCTCATGATGGCCGCACCTGTGCCGCTCATCCTGTGGCATCAACGCACCTCTCAACACAAGGGTTCCAACCTCCAGCTGGGTTCCCACCTCTTGGAGCTTTCCCGGGCCAGTTCAGTAGCATCAACCCCCTCACAGGTCTGCCCTTCATCCCACCCTCAGCAGCAGCTACTGAAGATCTCCACAAGCAGGCACTGGAGCTGCAGCGACGTACCCTCGAGATGCAACATGCAATGGGCAAGACCTCACTCGACCTCAGTATGCGATGTCGCGAGGACGGAGTAATGTGGAGGGGTGACTACGGTAACTTTAACGCCGTGTCCGTCCACTGTGAAGACGTAATGGCAGGAGACAAAATGCATCACGACGGCGGGGACGGCAAGCAGAGAAGAGGCGACGACGACTACAATGCTAATAACAGTCTGGACGATGACATGGACGACGACAGCATGAGCGTCGACACCCAGAGCATGAAGGGAGAGGGAACGGCAGCCTCACCCTCAGCCAATAAGCGGAAACGCAAGAGCCAAAACCCAACGAAATTTGCCTTCAGATTAGAAGACGATGATCTGATATCAACGGATGATGATGATGACGATGATAACGACGATGATCTAGACGATATAGATGCAAAAGATTCAGAGGATGATAAAAACGAAGATAAAGAATTAGACGCCATGAGTGACGATGACGATGACACGAATGGCGCCATGAAGGAAAGTTCTTCCATGAACTCCGGTGATAAATCAAAAAACGATAAAGACTCGGACGGCAGCAACAGGAAGGTCTCCTCCAGCAGCTACGACGAGTCGGTCGACACATCCAACGCGTTAAGGCACCTGGAGGACCTCTCCAAAGGCCACTTCGCTCACCTCTCCGGCGCGATGCCCCCAAACGCATCGGCGTCACTCGGCCTTCAGATGGCGCCATCGGGAAATGGCGTCACATCTTCGAGTCCCAGGCCAAGTGACCGTGACAGCGATCGGGACTCGAACCCTGGATCCCCATCAGAGGATTCCGAAGGAGCTTTTCAATTTGGCGAGGGTGGGTTTCTGAGTAGCCTGGACATCCCCATAGATAAGGAGAACCCTCGCCGCTGTATAGCTTGTGGTAAGATGTTCCAAAACCACTTTGGAGTCAAGACTCATTACCAAAACGTTCACCTGAAGCTCATGCACAAGTGTACCGTGGAAGGCTGTAACGCCGCCTTCCCTTCCAAGCGTAGTCGTGACCGCCACGCCTCAAACCTCAACCTTCACCGCAAGTTACTCTCCACCTCCTCAGATGCGCCGGGCTTCCCCGCCATGGCCTTTCCCGGACTGCCCTTCAACCCTGCTCTCAACCCGGAGTTGCTGGCACGCCTCTACTCTGACCCTGGCACTCTTCCGCTCGGTCTCGATGCCCTAAAGGCCCACATCCCAACGTCACTCGCCGAGTCATTGTTCAACGGCGATCGTGGCAGTGGTGGCGGCGGCGGTAACGGCGGCAGTGGAGGCGGTGGCGGCTTGCCTCCAGCAGCTCATCCGCCTCCGCACTTCTTCCTCCCTAACCTCCTCCCTCATTTTACTGCTAATAATAATCTTCCGGGAACGGAACGAAGAGATCGCTCTAGTACCCCATCCCCTCAATCAACAACGCCCACCACCACGGGGCCGCCCACCACAGACGTACCCTCTCCGCCGCCCCCTGAGCCTGCCGCCCCTACAACCACCACCTCCAACAACACCACCACCAGCACCACCAGCGAGGACATGGAGACTGACTGGATATATAACCTCGAGGACGATCTCCCCTCACCGGACCGTGACGGCAACATGCCCTGCAAATTCTGTCACAAGACCTTTGAGGACGGCGTTGGCCTGAAGAACCACTACGACGATGTTCACGCCTCAGAGTTGTTCCGGTGCACGGTGGATGGTTGCAACAAGGTGTTCAGTGCCCGTCGTAAACGTAATGCCCACTCCCTCAATGACGCCGTTCACCAGCACCTCTTAGAGGGGGCGGCAGCGGCGAGGACGACGTGATGTCTTCGCCTCCCTCAATTGCGGCAGCGGTCCCGCGGGTCGGGTCTCCCCGACCTCTCCCCCTCTGTATAAATGTATAAATGTGCCAATGTTTCACGTCTTATTTATACGTAGTGGTGTTAGAGTGCCCAGTGTTGCCCGCGTGTACATAGCAGTGGCTCCAGCTGCCCAGGACCCAGGCGGCTCAGTGTAGAGTAGTGGCTCACCAGCTGCGCGTAATGGTGCGTCTCCCTACACCGCAACCAGGGACAGTGCGCTCTCTAGGGACATTGTGCGCCCCGAGGGATCACACACACACACACACAGACTTAAAATGTTTTTGAGGATAGTGTCGTAAATCCTCTGTAGTGACCGACCACCAGGTGTGTGAGACTCTCCCTGGCGGTGATGGAGGTGGTCGAGGAGCGCCAAGACAGTGACTTGTGTTTCTCACGTGGTTATCCAGAGGTGCTGTGAGCCATCTTAACGCTGAATGACTTAGAGCTGCATTAATGTTCTCAGGATTCTTTGTGAATCGTTTTGCATACCAGTAATTTGGTATCCAAGAGTCAGTGTTCAACTTCATTGTGTATTTGTATTATTATTATTTTTTTTGTTTATATTGCTGTAAATGTCGGTTTTATACTGTGACTCGCTCTGTCATCTGTGTAAATGGTGCTATATTTTAGTTGGCACATCCATGTCTCCATTTACGTACAATTTTGGTTAGTAAGTTAATTTTTTCTTCGTGTGATCGTAAAGTCGGCGTCTTCCACTGTCTTCATTTTACCGTGATGGCTGAGGCGGACCAGCAGCAGACGCGCCTCCCTTAAACTCTTACACAAGACCAAATATTCTATTAATTGTCCTTCTCAAACTCCTACAGCATATTGAAAGTGTCCGTAGAGGCGTATAATACCTTATTTAAACACTGAGACCATTCCTGTAATCTGAAAATTGCAAGAAGTTAAATTTTGAGAGATTTATTGAAACAAAAATACGTTTCCAAACACCTGTGTGCTCTCCCATTGACAATATTTAGTATTTAAACAAACTTTTTAAGCTTATTTGGGGAGGGAGAGGGGGGAGGGGGAAGGGACCCAAAACAACAGCTCTAAGACAACTTTCTTAACTAAATAGCCACAGTGTGATTTTAATCCTGGCAATGACTTCAATAAAGATAATCCAGGGAGGTTCTTAAAATCTCTTTCACATCCTTCAAGGAGTGTAGGATACTTAAGAGAACTATCACGATTAAATATCCTTTGCCTCATGTTATACCTTCAACAAGGAGTTAAACTTAGGAAGGAATTTTATTTATTTTTCCCTAAAACACCAAATTCTCAAAGACGTCTCTCATTCACTCCAAGACTCCTGTAGTGTTGTGTTGGAGGCGGTCTCGTTTGCTGAATTTTTTTTTTTTTTTAATTTTGTATCGGAGTTTCATTCGGAGGCGTCTCTTGCTGCTACACCTGCCCGAGCGTGTCTCTTGTTGCTACACCTGCCTGAGCGCGTCTCTTGTTGCTACACCTGCCCGAGCCAACACCCTAATTCCCTGCAAAGTTTTGGCTTAATTTACTGTACTGATGGTCACATTCACCCTCTTTTAACACAAACCAAGAGATTGAACTACGACAATCAACAGTGTGAAATTGCCAAAGATATGTTATTTTTTTCTCTTTTTATTGTTTTTTTTTTCTTATTTTATTTCTCTATCTCTCGAATGTGTTCTTTCACCAAAACGCTGAATGATATTCTCTTGTGGCCTCCAGTTCAAAATTGGAGGACACGACAAAAACATCCAAAATGAGGTGTACGTAAGGTAGATATCTGTGTACTCTCTCTCTCTCTCTCTCTCTTTGTCACATACATACTGTCTCTACCACTACCTCTCTCTCTTTTTCACACATACACAGTCTCTCTCTCTCTCTCTCTCTCTCTTATAGGGGCTGTGGATCTAGCCACATACCTGGTAGCCAATTTGAACCCGGACCGATACGGATTAGGTTTTTTGATATTAGTACTTTAGTCATACTCTGTAAGGTTTTCATGAAAGGTTAATACTACTTTCAGCCAGTAGTTTATAGACCATCTCGCGTTATCATCATCATCATCATCATCATCATCATCATCATCATCATCATCTCAATTTGTAATAAAAAACAAACTCATGGAGAGATAAAGGATAAGAAAGATAAGATAAGATTCATATTATCCTCATCGTGTTGTTGTTGTCGCCGACGCTTCCACCATTTTAGTTGAGTCTTATGAAATTGATGGTCTTATAAAAAAAGGATAAAGAAAATACGATATATAAATCTCTCACTTTATTTTTTTTTTTAGGAACTAACTTGAATTTCGACCATCCTGATCCCTTCATCTGGTCCGGAGACTATCTCTTTCTGTTTTTCTGTCTCTCTCTCTGTCTCTCTTTCTCTCTCCCTCTCTCCTATTCATCCTCCCTCTTTACCCAGTGACTATAAAGGAGGGGGAATAAAGTTGAGGGAGAGAAGGAGGGAGGGAAGAAGAAGAAGAAGATAATGCCATAATCCATAATTCACTCTTTTTTTGTTTCATCATCTCAGCTCAAGGGGGACAAACAATAAATACACAAATGGTTTAGGGCCAACTGTACTTATGAATAATGATAATACAATACATTACATTACATGATATATATAAAAAAAAAAAAAAAAAAAAAAAAACAGAATTTATGGTGTCAAAAGTTTGTACGTTATGTCAGTACATTTGGTCCACAGGCGGAGTTAGGCCCTTCATGAGCTGTAAAAAAAAAAAATATTAATAACCTGTGTAGTTATTAGAGTGGTTTGTATACTGGAGGAACGAGAGGATTGTGTTCTTATACGTGTCTCTTAACCCTTTATTCCCCCCTCCCCAAATCCCTTATATTTCCCTAATACCTAGTCCCCTTATGTTCTTCCCCTTACCCCAAGAACCCTCCTGTGCTTCCTCTCTGAAACTCATACCAATCTTCTAGTTCCTTTACTTCCTTTCCTCTCCCCACGAACCTTTGAGCTTTACCTTCTCCTCCTTCTCCAGTTTATCTTCCTACTTTTCCTTCCTTCACCCGATTCCTCCCCTTACCCCCCCTTACCCCCCCCCCACCCCACCTTTCCCCCAACCACCTATCTAAGGGTACCGATGTGTAATGGTCTATTATTGTAGGCTACTTCAGTGGGCCCCTAACAGTAGGCTCCTCTAGTAGGGGCTCCTCTTGTGGGGGGAGGGGGGGGGGGAGGGCTCCTCTTCTGAACTCCTCTTGTGGATTCCTCTTGTAACTGCTATCACTGTCTGCTCTTGTGGACAATTTCAATTAATTCACCATCCCACCACCATCACCCCCTCCCCCCCTTAACCTGCTGCATTATTCTAGCGGTTCCCCCTCTTGTCGTCTACTGTCGAGGTTCACACTCTATACAATAGCCTGCTCTAGTGGTCCTCCTGTTAAAAGGGATCTTGAACCGCTGGCACAGGATTTCTCCCGTACTGTAATTAACTCATAATGACAATTTAAATAAATAATAAAAAAAACTTGTTGTTACCGTCTCGTGGTGATCTAGCTGTAATTGTTAATAAACCTGGTTATATGTGAGTTGTCTTTCCTTTGTAAATAACCTTCAGTAAAATAAAGTGTCCCTGATGACTCCTAGCGTCTTATGTACTTTCCTTGTGTGTGTGTGTGTGTGTGTGTCTGTCTGTCTCTCTGTCTGGCTTTTTGGTTACAGTTACTTTCACTATAAAACATTTACTGAAGAATGATGCGTAACGTTCCAACCCACACTAGAATGATTTTGTGGACTTATGCACATTTCTTAAGTTCTACCTGGATATAGAATGATACTGAAGAATGATATGAAAAAACAACTAAGTTTCTACCTAGGAAATACAAAACGAAAAAGTTACAATATAAACGAAACATTACATAATTATTTTGTTCATAGTTGAAAGTAAATACATATCTCAATGATTATCAATGAGTAAAAAAGTACAGATGATGTTAATAATTAAGAAAAAATTTATATAAAGAAAAACACAATGAAAACGAAATAATAAATATGATTAATAAACTTATACATAAATTAATAACATAAATCAAGTACATACATAAAAAAGATGAATGTATAAAGGACAAAATAGCATGAATAAATGTATACATATGAATTATAAGCCCCGGAACTAAATGTGTTACTTACCAATACCTGGAGAAACGGAACACACGACAACAGGTAACAACACACAATTATATCAGTGAGAAAATTTACCAAACAATAAACAAGATGGAGAATAACAATGTATATGTCTGTTCGTTAGTTTCATTCAGTCTGAGTCAGTCAAGTCAGTTAGTCACTCTGGTGGTAAATCAGTCAGTTAATCGTTCTCAGTTAACTAGCCATTCTTAGTCAGTCATTCATTTATTCATTCAATCAGAGGAAGAAAGAGAGACGGATATATACGATAAATTATATATATTAAGGAAATAATAGAATCATAAACACGAGACACAAACAACAGTGCAATAAGAGAGACACAGTATAACTCTTAGTAATATGAATGAACTAGGTAATGAGTGTATGGTAGTTAGGTAGTTAGCCGAGTGAAGCCCATACCACTGTGACGTCACTGAGTCTTGAGTAGTTTTGATTGGCTGGTTTTTCATAAGGTATAGAGTGATTATAACTAGTTCAATTTAGCATGTCAGGTGAATAAGTTAATGAAGGAAGGAAGGAAGGAAGGAATAGGTTTGTAACTGGGGAAAACTTATAATTAGGGGTGAGAGGAAAAGAGCAGATATATGAATAGGTAAAAATTGAGGATAGACGGACCAAGGGGAGAGAATAGACTCGGATAGATGAATAAAATTGAAAGATTTGGTTTAGTGAGATTTCTGATATCTAAAACTGGAACAAGATAACCCCTGATAATATTTGCTTGGAGTGAAAACTTATGGTCGCCAGCCCTAAGACAACAAGAATGGCAAATTGGATTGATGGATGGATGGATGGGGCTACGTGGTCGCCAATCCTAAGACAAGAAGAAAGATAAACTTGATTGATAAATTGATTGCGTGAACCTACAACCACCCACACACACAGTCTATCCAATCCAAATTCTTTAACTCTCTAGCCTTAATATCACGGTCAGAAAACCACACAAGGAAACAGCAGTGATCGTAATACTTCCGGAACAAGGAGGAAAACCTGATAATTGAACTTAACTCAGAGGTCGGCTTCAGGTCAACAACACGAGTCAACATAGTGCTAACCCTCGAGATTTAAGCTCAAGTTGTACTAGAGATATCGAGTTCATGCTTCAGATAGATAGATAGATAGATAGATAGATAGATAGATAGATAGATAGATAGATAGACAGACAGACAGACAGACAGACAGACAGACAGACAGACAGATAGATAGATAGATAGATAGATAGTTAGAAGGAAGAAATCAAGTAAGGAAAGAACGAAAAAAGAAAGGAGGGAATGAAGGATGGAAAGAAAGAAAAAAGGAAGGAAGGAAGGAAGGAAGGAAGGAAGGCAGGAAGGAAGGAAGGAAGGAAGGAAAGGAAGGAAGGAAGGAAGGAAGGAAGGAAGGTAACTAGACAAGAATCAAGCCAAGGAGACAAGTGCCCGTGTGGTTAAAGGTTTGTACACTGTCTCTCAGCTGTTGACTATATTTATGGACGGGTCAGTACGTGAGATGAGAGCGACGGCAGGTGAGCGTGTGGCCAGGTACAGACACCTTGGCCCTCGTAGGTGTGTGTGTGTGTGTGTGTGTGTGTGTGTGTGTGTGTGTGTGTGTGTGTGATTAATTAGTGATTCAAGTCTTATAACCAGGTAAGGACAGGTAATACAGCCACCTTAGAGAAAACAATTAGAATAAATCACAGAAGGTTTAGATAATTTTTACTGAATTATAAAGAAAACTACGAATATTAAACAAAAACTAGACCAAAAACTTACCAATGAAAACGAACGATGAATTAGGAAAAGTTATTGGAAATAGAGATACTAAAATATGGTGAAAAAAATATAATTGAAATGAACGACGATAATTATTGATATAGATCGCTTTAATTTGACTGGTATTGGTAATTATGATTGTGAGGTTCATACACTTGTGGTTCCTTATCACCTGGGGTCACCTGGGGTCAGAGGGTCCAGGTAATTAGGTCATCAGGTGGGTGGTAAGATATTAAGAGTTCAGTCTCGTTATGTTCTGTGTGTGTGTGTATGTGTGTGTGCGTGTGTGCGTGTGAATGTGTGTGTGTGTGTGTGTGTGTGTGTGTGTGTGTGTGTGTGTGTGTGTGTGTGTGTGTGTGTGTGTGTGTGTGTGTGTGTGTGTGTGTGTGTGTGTGTGTTTTTAGGTTTGTGTGTGAGTGTTAAAGGTATGTGTGTGTGTCAGGTAGAAAGGCAACCCGAGTTCGATCCCCATGCAGGGTGAAACTATGGGAAGGTTTCTTTACAATATATAACACAACTTTAATAGTCGTTTATTCAGGTGGTCGAGGAAGAGGTACAGTCATCATCAAGTATGGTCAGGTCTTATGGAGTTTCTGTGCTAAGACAAGGTATGTGTTTGGAGGTGGCAACTTAGCTGGGAAGACTTTAGACGACGGCGCTGGGACAAGCTGGTGTGTTCAGCGATCATTTTCTCGGCGTTGAGAAAGATGGGAAGGGTAGAGAAAGATGGGAGGGGTAAAGAAAGATGGGAGGGGTAGAGAAAGATGGGAAGAGGAGAAAGATGGGAGGGGTGAAAGATGGGAGGGGGTAGAGAAAGATGGGAGGGGGTAGAGAAGATGGGAGGGGTAGAGAAACATGGGAAGGATAGAGAGACAGAAAACAAGAAATATTAATATATATCAAATCCTCGCTAATAAATGGCCAGATTTTATTTAGTTTTGTAGTAAATTTGGGCAATATTTTTCTACCGATTTTGATTATATTTACGTGTGAACCTTTACTATAAAAAACAATGTTTATTAACCCATCACCAAAAAAACAATATACATCAGCATTAACCATCAACCCCCCACCCCCAAAAAAAACTGAATTACACACGCCAATAAACAACAAAAATAAGGGTAATATTTCAGGACATGTCAGAACGTGTGACTAATAAATAGCACAAGACGATGAAGACGATGGATGGATGTAAGATGACAAAGCTGCCCTCAACAATGACCTCACACACAGTCAACAAACAAACAGACAGACAAATTGTTTGAAGGTATTTTTTTGGGAGGAAGGGAGGGTGAGTTTGTTGACATTACTCCGTCGTTAACTGTACGATAATTACTGGATTGCTCGTAAACTGGACCTTTACTACGTTTCAAATTTAACTTTTATTTTTTGTTGATAATATTTTCTATGACATAATGCTGTAGATTTGTTATATTATTTATTTGTTTATCGTTTGTATGTTTTTGTCGGGGGTGAAAAAATATATATATAAATATACACAAATAAGCTGGGATCGCTAAGCCTCAGTGAGATAATCGGAGATGACTATTCTTCAAGGGATATAAGCTGGGATGACTAATCTTCAAGGGATATAAGCTGGGATGACTAATCTTCAAGGGATATAAGCTAGGATGACTAATCTTTAAGGGATATAAGCTGGGATGACTAATCTTTAAGGGATATAAGCTGGGATGACTAATCTTCAAGGGATATGCTGGGATGACTAATCTTAAGGGATATAAGCTGGGATGACTAATCTTCAGGGATATAAGCTATATTTTTGTGGTTGGGATATAAGCTGGGATGACTAATCTTCAAGGGATATAAGCTAGGATGACTAATCTTTAAGGGATATAAGCTGGGATGACTAATCTTTAAGGTATATAAGCTGGGATGACTAATCTTCAAGGGATATAAGCTAGGATGACTAATCTTTAAGGGATATAAGCTGGGATGACTAATCTTCAAGGGATATAAGCTAGGATGACTAATCTTTAAGGGATATAAGCTGGGATGACTAATCTTCAAGGGATATAAGCTGGGATGACTAATCTTCAAGGGATATAAGCTGGGATGACTAATCTTTAAGGGATATAAGCTGGATGACTAATCTTCAAGGGATATAAGCTGGGATGACTAATCTTCAAGGGATATAAGCTGGGATGATTAATCTTCAAGGGATATAAGCTGGGATGACTAATCTTCAAGGGATATAAGCTAGGATGACTAATCTTCAAGGGATATAAGCTGGGATGACTAATCTTCAAGGGATATAAGCTGGGATGACTAATCTTCAAGGGATATAAGCTGGGATGACTAATCTTCAAGGGATATAAGCTAGGATGACTAATCTTCAAGGGATATAAGCTGGGATGACTAATCTTCAAGGGATATAAGCTAGGATGACTAATATTTAGGTGAAATTATATATTTAAATTTCAAACTGCGGTGACTGTTAGGCATTCGCGGCCGCCAGTCAGCATGTGAGGCTCATAAGTGGCGGAGACTGCACAGTACACAGAAGCGAGTCGTTATATTATCATCTGTTATTATCATACATATTGGCATTATAATTACTATGAGCTGAAACAATTATTCATGCCAATATTACCGTGAATATTATAGATATCAGT